GCAGGTGGGTCGCGAGCGGCGCGTTCTCCGGCCACGGCAGCCGCGTGACTGGACCTCTCTCTATATCGCGATATAGGTAGATACGTAGATAGATAGATGGATGGATAGATAGATGTATGTGCGCACGTGTGCGGATAGATGCGTGTGGCAGATGTGCGCACATGGGGGTGCCCCTAGCCATATGTATGTATAGGTGTGTGTATATATATATATATAAAATATATACATATGGGCTCATATGTGTGTGTGTATATATATATGCATATGCACGTGCTTGCATGCTGTGCTGCTGCAAGGGCCAGGGTCTTTCGCGGCTCCCAGGCAGGTCCCCCGCGGGTGGCAGCGGCACCGCGGCCGGGGGGCTCTGCGAATGCTGCTGTCTTGGGAAGGCAGCACGGGAGGAGTGGGAGAGGGTTTCCCCGCAGCGGGGTCCTGCAGCACCGGCGCACGCTGCGCGTAAACAGTTTGCATAACGCGCCGCCCGCGCAGCGAGTGCCAGCTTTCTGCCTTAAAAGAGAAGGGGGAAAAAAAAATATGGGAAACGAACACGTAATCAGGCACAAGATGTAAATGAAACATCACCAGGCAAGTGTTACAAAAATGCTTAAGCAAGAAGCATATGATTTTCCATGGATGTTTTACAGGTGAGTCATGGTATTTGCTGCATGCTCTCGCTCACTGCTAAAGGTCTGTCCAGTGGCATGTACAGTATATGGAATGGGAGCAAGTACTTACTGGGGTGTAATCGCTGGGTTTACGAGGAGGGAAAAGTGCCGTTTCAGTGGCTGTGGGAGAGCAGTCGGGAGCTTGTGGGAATCCCTGTGCCCTGATCTGCCCTTCCGCTGAATTCCTGTGGCAGGCGGCAGCGCACAAGAGAGCTGTCACCTCCTGTAAGCTGCATCCCTCTGCATCTGTCAGGCTGCCTGGTCTAATTCAAGCGGAAACGGGGAGGGTTTCCTCCATCCTCATCCCAGCGCTGGGATGGGACTGGGGGTCTGGTGTCCCCAGCATTCTGCAACTCCTACAAATCTGTCCAGAGACAGATCAGTGCCATCAGCTCAGCTGGATGGTAGCAGGAGCTGGGCGCTGTGGGGGTGGTTGAACACTCAGCTCCCAGGGACAAGGAGGGCGCTTCGGCCGCCTCCAGGCAGGGTTGTGCTCCTTGAGGCAGAGCCCCTGAGGGGACGGATGCTGGGGACACCAGCCATGAACCTGGCACTGCTGCCGTGCCAAGGAAAACCCTTGCAGACCTTGGGCCTAAGCACTGCCTCCCTGCAGGCAATACCCTGCGGTGGGTGAAAAAGCAAAGGGTGCAGCAAATGTGCACAATAATCCTGAGCTGTCTCAGGGACCCGGCTGAGCGCTGCAGTCTTTACTTGCCCCTTCCCAAACACGCTCTGCGATGCAGTGAGTGAGGGAAGCGCAGCAAATGTTCACCTATTTGCTTAGCAGCTAACTGCGCTGTGCTACATGTAGCCAAAGAATCCAGGAAAGCAGCCAAACACATAAATTAAGCCAGCTTGTGGCAAGCCTGGCTGATAATATGATAATAGTCCTTACTTACCTACCCCTCAGGAGCGTGGTGTAGGTTAGTTAATGTTTACGCAATTCTCTGGAAAGGATCTTCAGGAGATAAAAGCAATATTATATAAACTTTCCAGTTATATTTGTTTACTTTTCTAGAAGTATTCAGCACAGTTGATACACATCATCTCAGACACACTTCTACCCCTCATATTTTTATCGGCATAGGAAACTAATTTCACCAAGTATTTTTGCTCCCTAAAGACTTCCCTGGGTTGTTTACCCAATGAAATCCAGAGCCTGGCCTTAGTAATGCTTTCTAATGAGGGCATAAATAGTAGTGGTCCACATCTGTTCTGAATAATCCGTGTAGAAAACCTGTCTGAATTGCTGGTGGTAGAAACGTTTTGTCTCCAGTGCGTGTTCCCTTCAGAAGCAGAAGGCGCAGGGAAATCTGTCACATGCCAAAGGCTTAGCCTCTGCTCGTGCATAATATCGCTTAATTGCAACTATGACACTGTAGACAAAAAACGAATAAAGCCCCCAGAAAGGATTTATTGGATGCTAAACTCAAATGACCTTTGGATGTATGAAAAAAATGCTCAGAAGAAGCCGTAATAATTGGTGCACAAAGCGGGCTATGTTGGCCTGGCCCTGTGATAAAGACAGCATTATGCACCTCAGAGGTCTCGCTCTGCCCGCATCCAAGTCATCACCACCCTTTTTTTCCTCTTTCCCACGTAGAACAGTTATGTTTCGTCAGAACGGCCTTGCACGGCAGCTCCACTTGTTAGAGAAGAGGTGAGGAGCCCTCCTCGTCACCCCAGCTCGCCAGGGGTAGTCACCGTGCTCAGTTTCACCCTGAGCCCCATGGCCATTTTTGACCCTGCTAATGCATTTTTTTTCAGCCGTCAGAGACTTGGTTGCAGGCGGTTTGCCAGTGCTGTTCCAACCGAGGATCTTTTTTTGTTTCGCTGTGTTTCCCTTTGTTTTTTTTCCTCCCTTGTGCCCACCGGCAATGCGTTCCCAAAAGATGCGGCGGGATTTTGATGCCATCCTGAGCTCCGCTGCAGCGTGGGGCTGTGGGGTGGGAAGGGAGGGTGGGGAGAAGAGGCGCCTTGTGTCCCGACATGTCGGCATGGGCACGGGCCACCCCCAAGAACCACGCCGACCTCTTTCCTGGCCTCTTGCCTGCAGGTGCGAGCGGCGCGGGCGCCCGCTGCGAGAAGGCCTGCAACCCGCGGCTGGGCAACCTGGCGCACGGGCGGGCGCTGCGCACGGACACGGCCTGCGGCACCGGCGCCCCCGAGCCCTTCTGCGCCTATGCCGAGGCGCTGATCGTGGTGTTCAAGTCGCCGCGGCCGGCCGCCATGGTGCTGGAGCGCTCGCAGGACTTCGGCAGGACCTGGCGGCCCTACAAGTACTTCGCCGCTAACTGCTCGGCCACCTTCGGGCTGGAGGACGACGTGGCGCGCCGGGGGGCCGCCTGCACCTCCAGATACTCCAGCCCCTTCCCCTGCACGGGAGGAGAGGTAAGGTGCCTCCTCTGAGCTTCGCGATCATCCCGGGAGCTTTCTACAAAACTTAAAAAAAAATTAAATTTAGCATTTTTAGAAATTTAAAATTTAAAAGCCTGGGGTCCCCACATTCCCTTTAAATAGGGTTGGCCATTGCCAAGAGGTAAGCATACAACCAGCCAAAAACACTTCTGGCTACCCTGATAGGTAGTTCTGCATAAACCAGATTAACCAGATAGTTAAGGAACCTTATACTTCATTTATTTATTTATTTATTTATTATGTTTACACTTATTCTTGCATGAAATCCACATGCAGAATGGCACAAAATCACAGTTGCTGAGAAGGAAAGCAGAAGTTTTTTGTGAAAAATCAGCTTATTTTCAATATCAGAGACTGCAGGAAATAAGTTCCATGCTTGGAGCCTTTGCAGGTAATGCCCGTTCCTTTTTTCTCCTAAACTCTGTGTTGGGACCCTCTCCCAGGAGCCCGTGGCGCTAGGGCTGCTCTCCAGACTCCCACTCGTGGTGAGGCATCTCCAGGGACTGCCTCTGGATCTTAAAGGCTGCTCCCTCTAGTGGCTTAGTTTAATGAACTTTAGCTGAAAGTTCAATGAAACTTAAAATTGCCCCCGGTAAAATTTAGAAAAATGGGCATGTTTAAATGGTGAATTAGGTTGGTTCTTTGTGTTTAGTCCTTGCTGATTACTTGCTTTGAGGTGAAGGTCCTGTTGTTGGAGATTGGTGGTCACGTCCCAGGAAAATCACCTGTTGAAGCATCTGTGTGGCTTCCCGCCCTCAGCCTGTCGGTTGGAGTCACCCTTATCCTTGATTTGGTTAGCAAACCACTCGCCACAGAAATGCCTGGCTACCCCATTGCGTCTCTTGGGGAAGAGCCCCGGGGAGGCAGCCAACGTCGTGCTCTGGGGGAAGCCAACCTGTGCCCCAGCAGGCTCCAGCAGAGCTCTCCAGAGCTGTCAGACAGGTCCAGGACTGCTATTTCATAAGGGTTTAAGTAAGGTTGTTCTCCTCTTTGCTCTCTGTCCTCTCATGACCCAGAAGAGCAGACTAAACTTTCCTTCACAGGGAAATCGGGTCCCGCTAAAAAGTTGGTTCTAAAGGACGTGGCTCACGGGGATTTTCCGAGACCCTCAGCATTTCCACCAGCCCCTGTGTCTCACTGGCTCTACCGATCTGCGATTCAGTGCAGGACTTTGCAGGCTGCAGGGAATTTGTAGCAATCAGCATCGGAGAATTGCTCTGTCCCACTTGCTCTTTGGACCTGCTGGCCAACTACCAGGGCATGTTTGGGGGGCTCTGACTTGCGCTGTCCCTTTTCAGCTTTCCCAGGGATCTTTCTTATAGACCAGAATCCAGAGTATAAAGCAGGGCAGTTATCTCTCTTTTTCCTGTTAGGTCCCATAGAATTAACACCCTGATGCAGTTTTCATTTAAATCACCCCTGCAAAGTAGGTGCAGACCAGGATGAGGGGTGTGTCTGGCGAGAACCTGTGGAAACATCCTTGGGCCAACTCATATAGGGGTTGCTGCTATGTGTGGGGACAGTGGGTTTGAGACTCTTACGTAGAAACCAGTGTTTATTTCAAGAAGGAAGAAAGTTTGGTTTTACATCTACAGCAGTTCGCTGCAAAATAGGCTACCTCCTGCAGGAGGTACATGGAGCTACCTCCAGGATCCCTTCCAGCAGGATCCCTTCTTCTGGCTTCACTTTGGTTTGTGCTATTACAAAGAAGCCATAAAAGTCAGGATCATTTAATTATTCCAGGCTTTAAACAAATGTCGAGTACAAGGGGCTGGAGCTTATAAGATTTTATGTATATGGCACACTTCAGTTTGTTATACTTAAACACCACTTGTATTTACCTGCAAAGTAATAACAGCAACTTTCTGGTGACCAGATGGCAAGCATGCATGCTTAGCAAATATCACATGTAATTTATTACAGTGTGCTGCATTCCAGCAATTACTTCTAACTGCCAATAGCAACACACATCTCACCTAAAGAAACATCAGAGTTTTGTGTTCTGTTTGGAGTTATGCAGTGCTTTACTCCCACTTCTGCAAGCACCTCATTTCAGACATATGGAAACAGTAATTTCACTTGAAACAGTGGTTTCAAATATGCAGTCATCTCAAAACATCCAATTCTGAAAGCTATTATTTAATTGCAGTTCATTTGCCCCAGTTTTTTTTAAGGCTAACATAAATTCTGCAAGTGCTACTGGAATTCTTTTTTTTTTTTTTCTATGATGTAAGTATAACCTGTGCTCCAAACTGTGTATCACACCACCCATATATCATTTTCTCCCATTTTTAAACATTTCAACACCACATGGGCATTTCCAGGCCCAGAGTCATGCTCACGGGATTCTGAACAGCGGGTCCGTGCATGTTGCTGGCACCGCCCGGCCATGGGCACCCGAGGTCATGGGGGAGCCAATGGAAAAACTCACAGGAGGCCTTGGGAGGCAGCTCCTCACCCTCAACAGCTCTTGGTGCACAGGGACCTGAGGCTTATCTTTAACAGTTTGTGTCTTAATTTGAATCAAACGAGCATCCACTTCACTTCTTATTGTTTGTTTTTTTAAGAAAAGAAGAAGCAGTCTCTTTGCATTTCTCTAGCCCCATATGATTATGAGTCATTCCTCAGATGTCTGGTCTAATTCTTATGACAGAAACCCTCCCTCGTTGCGACTTGGGCATGATGTTGATTTTGAAGAGATTTATGACACTGCAAAAAGCACGATGCCAAGCCTCTAGATTCTTTTTAAAGACCCAGAGCTCAGTGCTCATGGAAAAACAAGAGATGCTGAATTAGCTCCAGGAGCTTCTTTTCGTCTTTCTTCCTCTGATACGCCAGCTCCATGTTTTCCTTTCTGAGGCTGGCGCTGGCAGCTGAGCTAGGGGATGCTGACAAAGTGATCTGCATGGGACCTACCACCAGAAAAGGGGGCTACGTCTTGCCTAGCATTCATTTTTCCTGATCTCAGTGACACAAGGTCTCTGCAGTGACTTGATGGGTCTCTACCCATCCTCGATGCCTTTCCCAAATGGGAAACGTACCTCTGGGCCTAGTTATCCTCTTTGGATGCAGCTGAGTGGACCACCCTGAGGGAGGCGTGAGCTGGAGGTGAACAGCCTAAGGTGAGGCTGGGAAGGAAAGGGAAAATCCAGAGGGAATTTCTTCAGCAGCTGTTCACCATGCAAAGCAAGGAGGCTGAATCCACGCAGCACAAAATAGGTATCTTCTCCTCCTCTTGCTTTATGCTGAAGTTATTCCTGTTTTGCATCAAAATAGCCTGGGGGAAGATCAAATCCTACAAGTACAATGTAGGAGGAGAGGAATGCCTGGTGCTTAACACAGTGTTCGTCCAGTGTTCATGTTCATCCAGTAACAACGGGAAGCAGGGATTTTTTTTTTTTAGTGATGGGCAGCAACACGTGCCTGATTAACCAATGTATGGATAGTGCTCAAAATGTGGGAAAGCATACGTCACAAGGGATACGACAGAAACAGGCAGTATGACCATTGCAAGGAATAATTTAGGAATACTTTTTTTTCCATAACATTACCATGGAATTTGATGTAAAGGGTCAAAAGAAGAATCTAGTCACAGCCATGCACTGGTTTTTGAGAATAATACACTAATGCTCTAGTTTTAGTCTTAAAGGCTTTGCTGAAGGAATTAAGCACATACTTATAGGCATGTACCTAGGGACTTTGCTGACTGGAACTCCATGCAGGAGCAGTGGGAAAAGGAGAAGATGAAGGAAAAGTAAATGCCAGTGCAACCACTTGGGTTTCCAGCAAACTTTAAAGGTCTGCTAGTGGGAGGGAACAAGCTTGCAAAACTGTAAAGGGGAGAACACACTTCTTCCCTGTCAGGGAACGGTTTAGGATCAGCTGTGTGCAAAGGGGTCACTGAAGACTTCCCTTATGCTTAATTTAGTGAATTAATTGTTTCACGACAAAAGTTTGTTTAGCCCAGGCAGAAGCCTCTAAATGCTGGCCTTATATTATCAGGGATAAGGCCAAGTTTTAGCCTGTGTCATATGAGTATGGTACAGATCCAGAATAATTCTAGTTTTTCAGGGTGTTACCCCTGAGCCATATTACTGCGAGGAAAATCAGAACTGGATTCACCAGCCAAATATAATCCAATCTAAGTAAACAAGATGCAGAAATAAAATCTTGCAGCCTCAGGCTCAGATAAGAACACCATTTTTATTAGTATACAAAAAGGTCTATCTTCCCCTCAGGCTCAGATAAGAACGCCATTTATATTAGTATACAAAAAGGTCTATCTTCCCTCCCATATTTTGGATCGTGTTAATATTTCTTCCTTTACAGGCTAATCTTAAAATTATCTTTGACTAGATGTCACTGTTAAGGGCTCGTCTACATGGGGCCCTGAGCAGATGTTAATTCTTTAACTATGAGTGAGAGTGACTGTCCACTCTGCAATGCAATTATCTCATTCACTTTAAATTCCCATCTGTGGTCAATTCAGATTAGCTCGCCTGAGTGTCCCCATTTAGGCAAACTCCACAATAAAAGAACTTACTGAAGCAGAGTCTCCTTGACAAGATTTTAGTAAATTAGTAACTTGTTTGAGTGTTCATCTATTCAGAATACTGCTAATAAATCACTTTGAGACGTCAACCATTGTTGCTATTTTCTGTTAATAGGAGAAGTGTATTTGCAGCTTGAAAATATTCCAGCAACAAATGCTAACATGCTTCCAACTTTTGAAGCATCACATGCTTCTGTTTTACTGCAGTGTGTGTGTGTTTTACTGAGCACTTTATTGATCTCATGTGTCTCCTGTAGCAGAAAACCTTCCAATGTTCTGTGGTGTGTTGTTACTGCATGCAGGCTGCCTCTGTTCATTAGGGATTTGCACACCAGCCATACAGGTTTTACCTGAAAATAACTCTGTAGAGTAAAAGTAAATTGCATCCTGCTAATTAGGAGTTTGGCCCTAATAGACACGG